CTCGGTCCGCAGTCTTCTCGCTGGTGGATCCCATACGTAGGTAGGTCCACATTCGTACACGTACGCGTATATCCTGCTGTCGTGAGGTCCTGATCACAGTAGCTGTCTGCCTGGTCCTGCATCTGAGGCCAATGTGCCGAATAGTGATGAATGTAGCGGTGGGGGGTAGAAAGCAAAAATGTGAAAGCCGGTTGGCAGATAGTGTTAGCCAACCTTTTCTCATTGTTGTCCCATGGCCTGATAATGCTCCCTCGAACGTTGTTCCCGATAGTTGGTCGCCATACGTAATATTTCCGCTATGCGGCCCGCAAAACGTGAAGTTTTTCTCGTAGTGCCGTACATCGCTCGAGGTCGCTGCTGATCTGCATCGCGAGTTGTTCTTCTCTGGTGTTCGGCGGGACTGAAGGCGGCCAATCGCTGGATGGCCTTGGTCTCGTGGGTCCTGCAGAGGCGCTCGGGGCCTGCAACTGCTGTCGGCTGAGGGCTGCTGGGTTTCTCTGGTGGCTTACTGGCTGGCTCACTGTCCGCGGCGCCTGCTGAGCTTGGCCTCGGCGACCCTCGCGAAGCCCGTCTTCGGGACTCCTGAGCGGCTTTTCTTGGCGCCCCAAATACGCCAGCGCCAGTCCCAAGGCCTGCTTGAACACGTCCTCCTTGAAGCCTAGGATCCTCTCGCACGCCCTGCACGACGGCGACGTATTTATCGTGTACATGGCCCCGGCCCTGCGCTGCTCCGTCTCCATCTCCTCCTCCGACGGCTTGTACGCCCCTGGATATTGCACTGCAGGCGGACTTCCGCCACGAACGTTGGTCCCCGTGGCTGGTCCAGCTGCTCCATGAACTCCGTGAGGGTCTTGGTCACGTGTGCTGCGTCGGCTGGTCGTTGTCCTGCACCTTGGTCTCGAGCGCCTCCACGATCCCCTCCACGAAGGCCGCCGCGACGTGGCCGTGAGGAGGTCCATATCCGTGGCTCTTGCCCTTGGCCTTCACCCCTTCCTGCCGTACTCGCGGCCTGTCTCTATGGGGAGGAAGAGGAGGAGGAGAAGAAGGAGGATGAGGAGGAGGAGAAGAAGGAGGAGGAGGAGGAGAAGAAGGAGGAGGAGGAGGAGGAGGACAAGGAGGAGGATGTCTCCTGACGTCGCATCTCAAGGGCCAGCGCACCACAAATCCGCCTGCCCTGCCTCGGCGGCGCGCCCGGGAGGGGCGCGAGAGAGGGCCGCCTGCTCAGAAGGCGGCGCGGCGGCGGAGGATCTTGGAGAGCTTCTCACAAGGCCGGAGGCCTTCTCGGCCTTCCGGGACTTCCGAGAGGGCTGCGCCACGCCGAGAGCGCTCGCGAGGTGCCTGGATCGTCCCGAACGGCTCATCTGGAGAGCCGAGCTAGGACACGAAGACGAAGGGTCTCAACGACTGGCAGAGGGGGTGGGCCTTCTCGGAAGGCTGAGGAGGCCCACCCCTCTGCTTGCCGTTGAGACCCTTTGTCTTCGAGTCATAGCTCGGCTCTCCAGAGGCCGTTCGGGACGATCCAGGCACCCCTGGAGCGCTCTCGGCGTGGCGCAGCTGCCGGAAAGCATCCCGAGGCTGGAGAGCATCCCGAAGTTAGGCAACCGCAGAGAGCCGACGAGAACGTCCGAAAATCTTGAGCCTCGAATCCCCGGGGAGGTGCCGCCGAAGGGGGGGGGGGGAGGGGGCGAGGACGGCAGCCGTGGCATCGGCGGTGTCGGCGGAGAGGCGGTGCTCGCGCCGCCGCCAACGCTCATCCCCGAAGGGGCCATCCTGGCCGAGGTACTGGCGCAGCGTGAGGGGTGCGCTCGCGCCGCCAGGGCGCGACAGGGACGAGGCTGGCCCGGCCGAGGCAGAGAGCTTCTCAGAAAGGGGGGGAGCCTTCGGAACCTTCCGAGGAGGCCCGCCCCCTGGCCCCCCCGATATGCAACAAGCAACGCGTAGCGTGTCGACACGGAGCTCCACGCGCAGACTGGAAGCGCAGGTCTGGCGCGATGCGTTCGCCGAAGCGTGGGCCAGCGCGTGCCGAGCCAACACGCAGCGTGCTGACACGGACGCATTAAACACGGCACGTGTTGCATGTCAAGACGGGCGTACCAGGGCAGTTGAGCCTCTGAGCCTTCTGCGAAACTCTGGAAGATCCGGCGGCTCTGAAGCTCTCTTGTGAGGGGTAACGTTAGGGGGGGGATAGGGATAGGGGGGATGCATCGACCTGGAATCGGCGATACATCGCCGATAGATCGGCGATGAGCCCCCGATGGCGAATCCGCACCTTCCTGGGCAGGCTTGGGCTATCGGGCCCCTATCAGCGATTGATGGGCGAATGGGGAATCGGTGCATCCCCCCCTATGCCTGTCCCCCTATGGTTGCCCCTGATATTGCAGCTCGAAGCCTGCTGCGGGTGCTGCAGCCGGCGCTCGCTCTCGTGCTGCCCGCCGCCCCCCCCCCTCGCTATGCGCGCGCCTGGTGGCCCGTCGGGCCCCGCGGTGGCTCGGAGCGGCTGGACCGCACGAGCCGACAGCGGCAACGGGACGGGAAGAAGTGCGAATCCCTGAGATCCTGGCGTCGCACATCCCTGCTTGAGAGGAAGTGCGAGTCCCTAAGAAAAAAAAGAATCGTGGAGTCGCAATCCAGGAGAGAGAGAGAGAGAGATAAAAAAAAAGAGAGAAAGCCTCACTGAGAGAGTGCCATCCTGGAGTCGCCGTCCTGGCCTTCGATCCCGAGAAAAAGTGCGAACCCCTGAATTTTTCTCAACGGGCATTTTCGCTCAGTTTCGGGCCTGGGGACCCTCTTCGATCGATCCGGCTCGCAAAATGACGCAGAGAGATGGGGTTATACGGCTACAGTTGCGATTTTGTTTGCGATCGTGCTTTTGGCTGCAACCTCGAATCTGAGGGATCGCGCCTGGAAGGACACCGCAGAACTAACATCGTGCGGCCCAGCCACGCACCTGCAGTGGCCACGGGCCGATAGTGCGAACTGGGCTTTCGGGAGCGGCCAAGAGGGGGGTGTCCAAGAGGGGGGGTGCAAATCATGTCCGGCGGCACGTGCGCGGCCCAGCGGGGGGGGCAACGTACGTAATGAAATGAGCAGAGGCGCCATGAAATCTGGGGAAAAATCATGGCCCACGCCATGATATCCACACCCCTCTAGTCATCACCCCCCTCTTGGCCGCCACCGAGGCTTGGAAGGTAATGTGATCGGGCCGAGCCTGGTCGAGTGGTCTGCCGGGATTTCGTCGCAAGCGGCTTCCTGGCATACGTCCTGTTCCTTCCCCCAGCGTGCTCTCGGCTACACGCACGAGTGACCCTGGGTAAGAGTGACCTTTGGTGCGCGGCTTTTTGGGGGCCGCGCGGGGACCAAGCCGAGGCGCGCAAGCCGCTGCTCCTGCTTCGTTTTCAGCCATCTGGGGACCCATCTGTGCCCGCACCAAAGGTCACTCCGGCGAAAGGTCACTCTTACGTTTAGTCGATGCTCGCCGGATGAGGAGCTCATGCTCCCCTGGCCATCCTACTTCTGCCTCTCCTTAAAATGCCCCGCCCTAAAAGCATGAGGGAGCGGGCTTGGAACAGCGTACGGATCTCCCAGAACCAGCGGCCCAATATGATGCATTGGGTGCCGCGGACGCTCTAAAGTGTTCCGAACTGCTCTGAGCTCTGAGACTGCCCTAGAACGAGTAATACGTACGACGAGCCTGCCTGAAATCCGCCGACCCTGACGGCGTGTGTGAGGGGCTGTGCCGTTCGTCGTCGTCGTCGTCGTCGTCGTCGTCGTCGTCGTCGTTGCAGTGCTCTAGCGGGCTTGAGGGAAATCGACCCATGTCGTAACCACGTCAAAGGGAAGCCCCTTCCCTTTGTCCCTTCCCCAGCGGGGAGGGGTCCCAGGGGGTCCCAGGGGGGTCCCGGGGGGGGGGTCCCGGGGGGGGGGGGTCGCCACCCGGATACGCTTTCACTCCCCGCGCGTCTGGCGCGGTCCCCGCGCGGTTCCTGAACCCCGCGCGGCTTCCCGGTTCCCACAATGGCCCCTGGAGGCCGAAAATGACGAAAGACTGAGCATGTAGAACAACTCCCCCTTCCTCTCCTCCTCTTCCTCCTCCTCCTCCTCCTCCTCCTCCTCCTCCTCCTGTTCCTCCTCCTCCTCCTCATCCTCTTCCTCATCCTCTTCCTCCTCCTCCTCCTCCTCCTGCTCACTCTGCGGACTCCGAACCTCAAGCTCGAGGATCGAGGCTTTCGGGCGCCGCCGCAGCCCTCTCTTCGGCCATCCTCCTCCTCCTCCTCCTTCTCCCCTCCTCTTCCTCCTCCCCCTCCTCCTCCTCGAAGTCCTCCTCGAAGTGTTTCCTTCTCCCCACCCCCCCCAGTCATACTCCTCCTCCCCCTTTCCTCCTCTCCCTACTCCTCCTTTTCTCCTCCTCCTCCTCCTCCTCTCCTCCTCCTCCTCCGCCTCCTCCTCCTCTCCTCCTCCTCCTCCTCCTCCCTCTCTCCTCCTCCTCCTCCTCCTCCTCCTCCTCCCTCCTCCCTCCTCCTCCTCCTGCTCCAACCTCCACCTCCACGCTCCCTCCTCCTCCTCCTCCTCCTCCTTCTCCTCCTCCTCCTCCTCCTCCTCCTCCTCCTCATCTTCCACGGCCTCTCTCTCCGCCCACTTCGTCGCCGACGTCGTGGTCCTCCAAGGGTCGGCGGCACAGGCCGTCAGGCTCTCGCAATCTGGGCCTCCAGCTTCCCCCCTCTCCTCATTATTTTGTTTGTTTTCTCTCTCTCTCTCTCTCTCTCTCTTTCTCGCTGTCAGTCTCTCTTTATGTCACCGTACCCAGAGGTGGTATGCGAATGCCCCATCATAAGTCAAACGTCACAAGGTCGGTAGAAAATCCTCCACCACGCCCCAATGTTCTCCTCCAGCACTGCCCTTCCACCCCTCCAAAGCTGGAGGGGAAGGAAGAATGGAAGGAATTTGCGGAGGATGATACTGACGAGGGCAAAATGGAGCTCGACTGGTCCCAACGTAAGGTCCTGCTCCCATCTTCTTGGGGTTGGTCGCCTGAAAGCCTGCCGCGCAGAAGCAGAAGGTGAACAGATGCTCGCCGCTGGCGTCGGGAAGTACCTGGTCCTCCTGAAGGGGAACACACTTAGAGAGAGAAAGAGAGATAGCAAAAAATAAATACATCAATAATAGCACGACATACCTACCTACCTACCTACCTACCTACCTACCTACCTACCTACCTACATACACACATACACACATACATACATACACACATACATACATATAAATATGTATGATCCCAGGTCGAGAGGTCAAAGGCCCCCCGCCAGATCGGATGGGCCCCAGGGTTCCACAGGTCCTCCCCCCGCAGATGGGATGGAGGGACAGCGACGACGGCAAAAAGACGCCGACGACGACGACGACGACGACGGCGCCGAAGCGGACGCCGACGCCGACGCCGACGCCGACGCCGCCGACGCCGACGGAAGACGCCGACGGAAGACCCCGACGCCGACGAAGATGCCGACGGAAGACGACGACGACAACGACGACGAACTACCCCATGCCCACGGGGGGGAGTGGAGGGCACCGGCACCTCCACCACGCCACGCACACAGGGGCACGTCCACGGGGCGGGGGCGGAGCGATCCCATTCGCGAGGCCTTCGCGAGGCTCGGGTGGGGGCTCGATCCTATATGCATTGAAGAGGGCAACCCTGGATCATACATGCATGTATCCGCCGGCCCCCTTGGGGGCCAACAGGCTGCGAGGACTAGGCCGTCCAGTTCCCTGCAAGAGTTCCAGCTCCCAAGTTCTGGTTCTAGATTTTCTCTTTTCTAGTTCCAGTGTTGTAGTGATCGAAATCCGCCCGATGGTGCGGTGGGGGGTCCGACAAGGGCTCGGTTGCCCTCCCAGAGGGGGGGGCGCCCCAGGACACGCAAAAATACCCCAGACTCGAGTCGCTAGCTCCGAAGGACACAACCCCTTGTAAATTACGAAAAGGTTCGCGCCCCCGAGGCCGGAGTACGTGGGGAGCGCTCGCGCTCACGAAGCCTCACCCCGTGGTAAACTGCTATTAATGCGTTCGCGCCCCCGAGACAACAACCCCTCGCAAATTGCACGAGGCCACAATCTCCTGCAAATCACGTCGCGTTCGGGGGTGTCGTTCGCCCCCCCTCGTTTCCTACGAGTTCGGCTCTGGGCCCAAGCCACGAATCATTGAAACTGCCAGAGGTGCGCGCCCCCGAGGCCGCGAACCCCTGTAAATTGCAGTGGAAGCGCGCTCACGAAGCTACCATCCCTCGTGAATTACTTCAGACGAGCACATCCAGCCAGGCAGCAAGCAGCCCCAATCAACTGCCGACCATCAACTGAAGCAAAAAGCCAATCAGCCGAGCTGCCAGCCAGCCAACCGACACGCAACCCAACGAGCCTACCGACCAAGCGCGGCCGCACCAGCAATCTGACGGGGGAGGGGGGGGGGGCAGTGGGGCAGGGCGGAGCCCTTCAGACATACATCCAAGGGTGCAACGTGGTACCGCGGATGGGGGTGGGCGCTTCCCCGAGAAGGGGCCTGCCCCCTGCTGCACGGTGAAAACGTATCCTAAGGACGGGTGGCAAGGACACAAGATCCTTGGAGGCCGAAGTTGTGACTCTTAGGCGACGGGCGACCAGTGAAAACAGCAAAAGGCGGGCCGCAGTGGCAAGGACGCAAAGGTACCCCAAAAAAGGCGCTCGTCATTGATATGCGCGTTGACTGTAACTGTATGCCTGGACCGGTGCAGGTCCGAAGTTCGAAGCGACCGCCTGGATCGAACCCGAGAGCGCAAGGACAAGCGGGCCGAACTGTGGTCGGCCCCGCCGGGGCGGGCGAGGTCCACAGGAAGGACATCAACGGTAGCCACTCTCCGCCAGCTAAAGGGTTTAGCGGCTTCTGCCGTCCTTCGCCTCGGGCTGGAGCGTCCACGATGTGCCAGAGATCTCTGGAAGTGCCCAAGTTTGTAATGTGTCACACATATTTGTGTGGATGCCCCACCTCGAACCATCCGGCTCGATCCCCGAGCATCGAATGGCGAAAAGTCGTCAAGCCCTCCAATGGCACCTCTCTTCCTCTGCCACCCCACCTTCCTCTCCGAAGCGGACCGTCCAAGAAGAAACCGAGGCCTCCCCCTTCTCCTCCTCCTCCTCCTCCTCCTCCTCCTCCTCCTCCTCCTCCTCCTCCTCCTCCTCCTCATGGTCCCCGCTCCACCGTCCTCCCTCCACATCCTCCTCCTGCCCCTCCCTCCTCCTCCTCCCCACCCAGAAGATGATTCCGTCGGAGACGCTCGTTGGCCCCTCTCCCCTTCCTGCTGCTAGGCTCACGCTGAACAGAGAGAGGGAGAGATTGGAGAAAGAGATAGAGAGAGGTGACACACATACATGTATACACATGTGTGCATATATATGTGTGCATGTATCTAGAGAGAGAGAGAGATGATAGAGATGATAACGATGAGAACGACATGAAAGCGAAGAGAGAAAGAGAGAGATAGAAAGGAAGAGAGCGAGAGAGAGGCCACTCCGCTCTCCGCTACGCCAGCGGCCCACCTCCCAGCAGGAGCCGAGGTGTCAGCACCCTCCGCCCTCCGCCACCTCCCCAAAGCTTCCTCCTCCTCCCTTCTCCTCCTCCCTCCTCCTCGCTCCTCGTGCTCCTACGTGCTGCCTTCGGCAGCCCGCCCAGCCCCCCCGCCTCTCCTTCATTCCTCCTTCTCCTCCTCCAGTCTACCCCTTCTCCTCTCCTCTCCTCTCCTCCTCCTCCTCCTCCTCCTCCTCCTCCTCCCCTCCTCCTCCTCTCCTCCCTCCTTCTCTCCTCCTCCCCCTCTCCTTCTCCTCCTCCTCCTCCCTCCCTCCTCCTCCTCCTCCTCCTCCTCTCTCCTCCTCCTTCCTCTCCTCCTCCCCCTCTCCTTCTCCTTCCTTATTCCTTCTCCTCCTTACTTCCTCCTTCTCCTCCTCCTCCTTCTCCTCCTTCCTCCTCCTCCTTCCTTCGTTTTTCGCCTAAAGAACTACTCCCTGTCGCTCCCCGAGGCCGGTCGAAAGAGCGGGCCGGGCGTTTCGCCTGAGACTTTCCAGCCATGTATGACCCTGAAGCTTCGCCATTTGCAACAGCTTCACAGATGGAGGGCGGGTCGCCTCCCAAACGTGGCTCTCGCCTAAGCGCCGCGGGCAATCGTTGTAACAAATTGAAAGACTTTCGCGGTGTGAAAACAAGCAGTTTTCAAATGTTGCCCTCGCCATCCTTAGCGCAGCGCACGTTCGTTTTCAAACATTGCCACAGCTTCACAGACGGAGGGCGGGTCCTTTTCAAAATGTGGCTCTCGCCTTAGCGCCCATCACACTCGTGCTAAACACTTGCAATAATTTCACGGGCAAGCGGTGTTTCGCAACGATGTGGGATTGTCAGGGCGCAACAGTTACGTTGATTCGCGGTGTTGAAGTCGCAAGAATGGTATTCTGGCACGATCCGGGATCCACGATATGCAACAGGAAGGTTGGCTCGTGGTGTCGAAGTGGCAAGAGCGATGCTCTGACACGGTTCGAGATTTTCCAACGGTTGTTTACCAACGGGGCACTTCCTTCTAGCTTGGAGAGAGGGTTTATTACAACATTGTTAGTGAGCCTTGGGTTTGCGCTGGCCCTCCTCCTCCTCCTCCTCCTCCTCCTCCTCCTCCTCCTCCTCCTCCTCCTCCCCTCCCCTCCCCTCCCCTCCCCTTCCCCCCGCTCGTCCCCCTCCCTCCCCCTCCCTCCCTCGTCTCTTCATTCCTCTCCCCGTCCCTTCCCCTCGCTTCCTTCCTCTCCTCTCCCCTCCCCTTCCTTTCCCGTCTCTTCCTTCCGATCCCGTGTTCGCCCGTCCGCGCGCCGTCCTCCCGAAACCCACCGAGCAGGACAACTGCTCCCCCGCGCCCCCCGCAAATGGCCGGGGAGTCGCCCGCCCCACACAGCGTGGTGCACACACATGGGCTACGCTTTAGGCTTTAGGTCGGGCATGTCCCCCTGCAGGCGCACCTTGGACGAAACATTGAGCATTGTCGAACATGCCCTAAAAGGATCACACATCGTCGAAACATCGTCCCCCGACTGTTTGTATGGAACTATGTCTGGGCATTCCACTTGTAGAGGGACACGCCCGACTCGAGGCTACGCGTCTTCTGCAATCCCAGGCCTGTTTGCTTCCCCAGGGGGTCGGGGGCGGCAAAGAGGGGGGCGTCCAAGAGGGGGGGGTGCAAATCATGACCGGCGGCACGTGCGCGGCCCAGCGGGGGGGCCAGGGACGAAAGCTGGGGAGATATCATGGCCCCCGCCATGATATCCACCCCCCCCTAGTCATCACCCCCTCTTTGCCGCCCCCGAGGGGGGGGACCAGCTGGTCGACGCTGGGGCCGGGGCAGGGCGCTGCTCTGCAGGCGACCCCCACCCCCCCGCGGGCGGGCCGCGCCCTGGAGCACGCGCTCGGGTGCGGTGCGGGCCGCTCTGAGCCCGGGGCTTCGACGACTCCAACCGCGGGCCCCGTCGGGCCCCGTCGACGCGAGGCGGAGGAGGAGGGAGGAGGAGGAGGAGGAGGAGGAGGAGGAGGAGGAGGAGGAGGAGGAGGAGGAGGAGGAGGAGGAGGAGGAGGAGAGGAGAGGAGGAGGAGGAAGGAGGAGGAGGAGGGAGGGGGAGGAGGAGGAGGAGGGGGGGAGGAGGGCGAGGAGGAGGAGGAGGGAGGAGGAGGAATAGGGAGGGAGAGAGGAGAGGTGGAGGAGGTGAGGGGGGAGGAGGAGGAGGAGGAGGAGGAGAATCGAGGGGAGCGGAGGTTGGGGTCCAGGATCCCACCATCTCGCCTGCAGCAGGCGCGCCTGGCGTTGCGCTGCCTGCCGCCGCCGTGCCCTCTCTCGCGCACCTCTGGGCGCGCGCCCTGCGGCGCCGCCCCTGCATGGGCAGGACGAGGGCGGACCGCCGCTGGGTCGTCGCGGAGCTGGGAGAGGGGGGGCACTGGGTGCCGGCACCCCTGAGAGGGGAGGCCCCGGGGCATGTGCCCCACCGTGCGGGCCAATCTATACCTTCTGCGATCGGTGCGGTGCGTTTTCGAGCGACAGGGGATGTACGACGGTTCGGGCGTGTGGCAAGGCCCCTGCCGACGCCACGGCAGCGTATCGCTTCTCGCTCCTGCGCCGAAGCAAGCGCCACTTGAATGTGATGCTCTGTCTGGGTGAGGCGTCCCGCTCCCTCTTGCAGTGGGATGCGACGCCTTCTGGGGAATGGCCCTGGGCTGAATGGTGGCGCGGGCGAGGGGCACCTGCTGAGTGTGCCCGCCCGTCCACTTTTCCTCACCGACGGCTGGCTGAGGGAAGGTGTTGCCAGGCTGGTTCCAGCAACAAAAAGAAGCCTTCTGCTTGTCCTCCTGCTCATCCGCCACCTGGTTGGTCCTCGAATGTACGCAGCTCCCTTTTTCCGATTGCGCATGCCACGATGGGGTCATGTGTGAAATTGCGGGTCCGCTATGACACGCGTCGGTTGATAGAGACAATTCAGCGCCATGGGAAGGGATGGGTGGGAGGTGGGAGGGGCAGGATGCTGGATATGGCGGGAGCGCACCGAGCTTCACATCTCCCCTCGCCCCCCCCCCTGGAATCAGCGGGCTCCTTGTGGGTCGCCTCGCAGAAGCCTTTGCCCTGCTCGAATTCGGCCACTCGCATGAACAACCGTTTGGGCCTCGCGGGCGGGAGGACGGAAGCGGAGGAGGGAGCTGATGAATGACTGAGAACAAGACGAGGAGGTAGGGAGGGAGGCGGAGGAGGAGGGTGGAGGAAACAAGAGGGAGGAAGGAGGAGGAGGAGGAGGAAGAGGAGGAGAAGGAGGAGGAAGCAGATTGGTTGGTTGGTTGGTTGGTTGGTGAGGCCCCCAGGTGGGCAGGCATGGTGAGGCCTCGGACTGGCCTCGACAGCGGAGGGGCCACGGAGCCTTGCTTGTTTCCGACGGCGGCCTCTGCAGCACGCTCCAGGGAGGAGGGGGTTGCCCCCCCCGGGGCGTGGGCGCGAGAAGGGGAGACGGAGGAGGGGCAGGGAGGAGGAGGAGGAGGAGGAGGAGGAGGAGGAGGAGGAGGAGGAGGAGGAGGATGGGAGGGAGGAAGAGGAGGTAGGAGGAGGAGGAGGAGGAGGAGGAGGAGGAGGAGGAGGAGGAGGAGGAGAGGAGGAGGAGGAGGAGGAGGAGAGGGAGGAGTAGAGGAGGAGGAGGGAGGAGGGAAGGAGGAGGAGGAGGAGGAGGAGGAGGAGGCCGTGGGTGGGGTGCTCGGGGCTTGGGCCCGGCCAGGTCCAGGACAGGGGTGCCCGGGAGGAGGAGATGGAGGGATAGGTGGACGAGCGGTGGAAGCATTAGGTCGGACATGTCCCCCTACAGGCGGATTTTGGGGGACGAATGCAAAGTAGGCAACAAAGATTCAAACATAGTTGAAACCTTAATCGGACAATCGTCCCCAGATCATTTTTGTCAATTTGGGATTATTCCTCCTGCAGAAGGACATGCCCGATTTAATGCAAGCAAAGGGAAGGAGAGGGAGGAGGGCACCCAGGCGCGATCGCCCGAGCCTGCCTTTCGCCGCACAGGGGTTGCCGAAGCGGCGCCCACGTGCGGCGCCCCCGCGATGGGGGCCGCTCGCCCGCGACGCCACGGCCCATGCCGCAAAGAAGGACAACGGCCGCGAGACCATCACCGGAGGGCCAGCAGAAGGGGCAGAACATCCACCCCGATAATAACCACCCCAACACGCGAAGCCGTTTACTGAACAGACCCACAGAAGGAATCACACAGGGCAGGACTGATTAGTAAACGCCCAGGGCCGTTTAGTAAACGTCAATTGTCGGGTCGGGGTGGTTTTTCTTCCCCCTTGATAGCAAGCCCACCGAGACCCTGCCGCTCAGCATGGCGCTGGCTGGGTTTCGCCGCCCGAGAACGGTACTATTCGAGGCGCCGGCGTTGCCTTGCTCGCTCGCGAAGCTGGAAGGGCACGCATGTACCACACGGAAGCCAGCTACAAACAGTACAAGGACCTGCGCAGTGACGGGGCCAGTGGCTATAACGACGGGGGTGATACCCCAGATGCCACAGCCCAGAGGGAGATTCCTGATAGGACCATCTCATACCTGAGTAGAGACGCCGCGGTCTTCATCCCTAACATCCCACTCTTCTACGACCTCCCCCCGATATTCCCTGACGCCTACGCGCACAACAACTACCAAGACCAGCATTGCGAGCTGCCGACCTTCAGCCCCCACGAAGAGTACGACCCCATACCCCACAACCACCCCCCCACCCCACCACCCCCTGCCCGACGGTCCCCACGACGGACCACATGACGCCCCAGCCGACGAGTGGCCGCATGCCAAGAGAGGTAGCCCGTTGGGTGCATACCCGCGAAAGTGGCCATGGGGGCCGCTGGCTAGCCAAAAGTTGGCGCCACCTCCTCCGCGGCGGGCTCGACATCCCGAGTGACCGCATGCCCCTTAGAGGGAGCCCGCAGGGGGCATACCCAGGGAAGCGGTCATAGGGACAGCTGAAGACACACCCTGGAGCACCCACCCGACCCCCTCAACTGCCCCACGACCATCCCCCCAACCCGAACGCTCCCACGACCCACCACCAAGACGGCACCCCTCGACGGCCACGCGGCGGCCCCCACGACGGCCCCCGACGCGGCCTCTACGACGGCCCCCGCGACGGACCCTACGACGGGCCCCCGCGATGGCCCCGCCGCGACGGCGACGAAGACGACGCCTGCCACGACGGCGACTACGACCACGACGAATCCCCTCCTCCCTGCGACGCCGACCCCAGCGACCGCCACGACGGGCATGAGGACAGACCGACCGACGGCTCAACTGACGCCCCTCCCGACGCCCTTCCCGACGTTTTCCCCGACGCTTTGACCAACCCCCCGCCCCGCTCCCGAATCGACGCAGCGCCCGACGGCCAGGAGGACGGCGACGAGGGCAACGACGCTCCCTCCTCCACGAACCCTCGCCCCGACGGCCCCCAAGACGACCCCCCATCCGAACCGGCGACCCCTCAACCAACGACACCCACGACGCTCACCCCCTGCGGCCGCCCCACGCCCTCACACGACTCCTCGCCACCAAGAGCCGATACCCTGCCCGACTCCCCACCCCAAGCCGTGCCCAACGCCCAGCCCGAAGCCCCGCCCCACTCTCTACCCGACGCCTCGCCACACGGCCTCCCCACGCCCAGCTCCTTGCCGGGCCTGCCTCGGCTGCGCGGTTACACGGACGGCTGGACGGCGGCCCACGAGGACGCCCCTCCGACCCGCCCCGAGCCTGCCCCGATGCGCGATCCGAGGCCTCTCCCCACGACGCCACCGACCACGACAACGACAACGACAACCCGACGCCCCATCCCACGACGACGCGCCTCCCCGCCGCGAGCGAACACCATGCCCCACGCTCTGCCCTCTCACGCCGGCCTGCCAAGACGACCCAACGTCCTGCCCTACTCCCAGCCCCACGCCCCGTCCCACTCCGCACCCGACGCCTCGCCCGACCACCCCACGCCCGACGCGACGGTGGGGCGGAGGGAGGGCGATGGCTGCATCTCTCAGGGGAACCAAGGGCCACCAGCACCAGCACCAGGAGGGCACCCCGCCCACCTTCCACCTCCAGCTACCATCGACACCCGCCCGCCGCGTCAGGGGCACGATTGGCGGCCGACCAGGCACGCAGGGCAGCCAATCTTTGGGCATGCAGGGCAGCCCTCGTGCTCCGGCGAGGTACGCCAAAGAAGGCACGGCGGGGTTTGTCTGGCCACGGCGAAGCTCGGCCGCGAATCGGTTGCCCGACCTATCTCCGAGGAAGCGCCCGAAGAACAAAGCCCATCCTGAACCCAAAGTGGTCCCTGTGTTAGGCTTTTCAGCTACAACGCCACACAGAGTGGACACGTGGAGGCCTGCTTGGTGGCGCTGGCTGCGTCCCCCAGTCGACTGCGGGGCGAATCAAGCCGAGGGGTGCGTCTGCAGACCCTGTCGGATGACGGTGAGGGCAGGAGATGAGAAGGGGGGGTCCTCAGTGGGAACCGCGGTGAGGATTTCTGTTCGCGGAGCGTGCCGCGGCGGCGGCCCCTGCGACAGCTGCAAGCCTTGCCAACTGGCGGCGTGTCGCGCTGCTTCGTGTGGACGGGAGGCCGGGAAACGCTGATATACCTCGGCATTGGGTGGGCTCAGCGTGTCGGGCCGAAGCGTGGTGGGCCAGAACTCCTCCTCCTCCTCCTCCTCCTCCTCCTCCTCCTCCTCCTCCTACTCCTCCTCCTCCTCCTCCTCCTCCTCCTCCTCCTCCTGCCTCCTGCCTCCTGCCTCCTGCCTCCTGCCTCCTGCCTCCTGCCTCCTTCTCCTCCCTCTCCTCCTCCCCCTCCTCCTCCTCCTCCTCCGCCTCCTCCTCCTCCTCCTCCTCCTCCTCCTCCTCCTCCTCCTCCTCCTCTCCTCCTCCTCCTCCTCTCCCCTCCTCCTCCCCTCCTCGTCCTCGTCTCCCCTCCTCCTCCTTCCTCCTCCTCCTCCTCCTCTCTTGATCTCCTGCCTCCCGCTCTCCTGCCATCCTCCTCTCCTCCTCTCCTCCCTCCTCCTCCTCCCTCCTCCCTTCCTCCTCCCTCCCTCCTCGTCCTCCTCCTTCATCCTCCCCTCCTCCTCCTCCTCCTCCGCCTCCTCCTCCGCCTTCCTCCTCCTCCTCCTCCTCCTCCTCCTCCTCTTCTCAAGCCATTCTGGCCCAGGCATTTGTGCTGTGCCAAGAACACCGTCTGCTGTACCAATTTTCTGTGCTGGCTTGAGCGCCTCAGCCTGCTGAGGTGAAAGGACGGTACCATCACGAATCAGCCATGGTGCCTCCTCCTCCGCCGCCTGTGGATCCTGGCGCTGCTTGGGACGCTCGTCGCGTCCGCTTCGCCGACGGGACCTCCCCAGGCCTCGGCAAAGGCGGGGGGAATGGAGGCAAGGGCGGCAAGGGCGGCGCTCCCAGTGCAGTCGGAGGCGGCTCCTGGGGCACCTACGGCCGCTGGACCTGTGTCGCCTGCGGCCGCCGCAAGAATCGCCCATCCTGGTGGTTCTGCAAGCATTGCAAGACGAGCCGCAGCGAAGTCGAGACCGCCGAGCCCCCAGCGCCCCAGGGACAGTGGCAAGCAGGCGCACCTCCACGGCTTCCTCTTCGGTCTGGACCTCAGTTCTCGCTTGGGCCCGTGTCGGGACCTCTGCAGGGACAACCAGCTGAAGGCATGTCCAAGGGTGCGCCCGCAACCACGTCCGACCTGGAGAAGTTGGTCACCATGCTGGAGCAAGTGGGCGATTCCGACGCAGCCGCTCGCCATCGTGCTTTTCTTGGGCAGCGCAAGGCGCAGGAGGCCCCCGTCGTACTGCTTTCACAGAAGGTATCCAGGGCATTTGGTGAACTACGTACTCTACGGGAGAAAACGGACAAGGCATGCAATGTCTACGACAAGTTGGTGGAAGATGTGGCAAGGCAGAAGGACAAGATTCGGGAGCTCTCCGCCGAGCTCACTGCTGCCGAGGCCACCCACACCAAGCTGGTTCAGGAGCTCCACGCACAAGTGTCTTCTGCACCTGTTCTACTTGACATTTCTTCTATCTTGGATGGCAAAGCTGAAGTATCGACAGCCTGCTCAAGCCCCAGTCGGATTACAAGCTGGAGCCTGAGGAGGTGGAA